ACAACATGTAAACCTTGAGAGAAAACCATGGAAGAATTTTCGACCAATTTGTACGATGATGAAAGCGGAAGTGGACCCACCTACCCTCAGTCCGCCTAATCTTCGCCTCCCCCTGTCTACAGGATATTTTTCCAAAGTTCGTTTTCAGAGTACAAAATCAAAATTTCGAAAAGTCATTTCAAATATTTATTTTAATTTTTAATTTTTGAATTCGAAAATTGAAAATTGACATTGATGAGATAATATTCGAGTTTTGACATGATCATAAAAAATGAAAATTCAAAAATCAGGCAAATTTCATATGTCCAATTCACGCCAACTAAATTGAAAAGCTCTTTGTGGAGTGTTACACGGACCGGACACCCTATTTTTCTTTCCAGATTTGGAATCAGCATTAAATTTCAATTCGGAAAATCGAAATTTAAAAAAAAGCTTTAAATCAATTTTCAAAAGTAGGCAGTCACCTTAAAACGATTTTTTCATTTTGCACACCTCTGATCGATATTTAAAGACGCCCGCTCTTTTTTCTTAAAAGCCATTACTTTACATTTAAACACACGATTCTTATCGATGGTATTAAGTCAACTTAATGCAATAAGCTTAATTTATTTTATGTTACTTGAGGTTTCGAATCATATAAGAACTTTTTTCTTGGAATTAAGATTAATTTACATAATCGAAACAAACCAATACATTCTCATAGAAAACTACGAAGAAATATTCTGAAAAAAAACATTAACGAGTCTAACGAGTCCACCAACCTTTTATGGGACTGTAAACTGGCTGGAAACATAGTGACTATGCTGGAAGACATCTGAAATCCACCATTTTTTCGCCATTTGTTTTGACGAACGAAAAGATTCTTGCAACCAGCCTGTACAGCGTGTGTAGCGGAATAACGGTCCTCTGTATATGGTGACCGAGAGGAGCTGGGGAGAAAGAAATGGTGAGCTGCCAGGTTGGGGCCAGAGGAGGGGATTAGGGAGGTGAGGTTGGATAGGGAGCACTCCCCCCCCCCCCCCCAACTCCCTCCTCTACCCGCTTTCCCTCTTCCCCTCAGAGGACCGCTTTGAGATCATTGATGGCCCTCCATGGCTTGTCTTTATTAGTCTAACTTCATTTTAGTCATACGCGCTTTTCTCTCAAAATGTTATTTTTATCACCAAGCGTTAATTATGTTATCTTCTAAGCTTCTGTAACAATTAACACTTACAATGGCTTAGCAATAATGAAGGGATGGAAAAGAAAAACAGCTACCTATACTACCTGGTTTCACCATCGTCCTTGAATTCCTTCACTACTGACCCTACCCCTATTATTTTATTATTATATTGGCCGAGAAATATAGATACACAACTCCAGGGRCTTAGGCAGTGGGGTGGCCAAGTGGGCCAATAAGTGGGCCTTTATGACAACAAAATGGTGGCTTTTTAGAATTCATAAAAATAAAACGTAAAAAAATATTTCTTTTGTTCAGTGTTTCGATGACTCAAACAAAATGGCGGATTTTACCCACAGCTACTCAACATCCATTGATAAAAGGAAATGCTGCTTCTTGTTGTTGTGTCCGGCATCCACAAGGTGGTTGAAATTACCGAGTTCTCGATCTCCATTATGTTGGTTCAGCCTATCTTCAGATTTCAAATCCAGTAATACCCTTCGTAACCGCCTCCCGGTCTGCCCAGCTGGTTGGGCACAGGTCTATTTAGTGTGCGGTACAGGGGCGTAGCTAGGGTTTTCAGAAGAGTGGGGGGGGAGGGGGTACAAAATCAAAAACATTTAAAATCCGCTATTTTGTTTGCACCTTACGTTTTACGTTAAACGTTTTACGTGCTAATTTTACAAAAATATGAAAATATAAGAACCGGCATTACATTTTGTTTGTTTGTTTTTTGTTTTGTTTTTTTATATAATCTTTTTTCCCTTTCTTTACGAAAAATTTTTAATCACTTTAGACATTCAGGTTGCTGAAAGCGCCATTTTATAAATTTAGATTTTTAGCTTATTAACGTAGATTTTTAGATAAAGATACATAGTTATATATTTAATACATATTTCAATTTTCCTTATTAGTCAGTTTTTCATCTTATAATTCCTTCTTCTTTGTAAGTATTATATATTAACATATTCATATTTAAATAATGGACAAATTCTATTCG